CCCCAAAACCCCAAAACCCCAAAACCCCTAAAGACTTTCCAAAATTGTAAAAAATTATTAATAATGGAAGAGAATCCTTGCTTTGTAGAATACTTTAGGTGTGTAGTCTGCTCCAAAATCTTTGATGGCTCAGGTATAGTACTTTTTTATTTTTAGAAGGCAGAAAGTTTCCCTTTCAGTGAGGTCTCTGCATGAGGTTCCTGTGATGTAATGATCAGGAGCATACCAGTCAAGAACATTTTGATAAAGATGCAGGAAAATGAGAAGCAGAGTCTATACTAGAGGATCTTATTGATGTCCAGGAGGACACTGTCGCTCAAGAAGAGCTTTTACAGCAGAAATATAGATGTGGGAATAAAAATTGCACTCAAAATAATATGGGATATGAAGAAGCCTTGATGCATATTGGGATCTGTACAGAGAAAAGTCAAGAGTCTAAGTTGAAAACTTTGCTTAATCAGCTAAATAGTAAGGATGAACCTATTGTTTGGGATGCTTCTAGCCGATGTAAGAGATGACAATGTATTCCATTCCAACCTATCTATTTCTGTAAATGAGGAGTAGGCCTTTACTGTCATTTCTGAAGAGCTCAAGATGAGAAGTGCCTGACATGAAACACTATCATTCGTTCTGTAGGGTTCATGGATCCTGAAAGATTTTACAACAGAATATTTAATCTACAAATAAAGAGATATTTATGAAGGTTCTGAGCAGAGCCTTATACTTGGGACGCACTTGCAATTCATGAGCGTATTTGATTTGAGATAGCAACTGAAAGCAAACTAGAAGAAATTGAAAACCCTGAAATTAAAAGCCACTATTTATTGAAAGAGGAATATTTGAGTGAAATGAAAACGATATTTTGAGATGTGCAAGAAAAGCTGTCTGAAAGACTGGATCAATTTAAGGTAGACCTAGTTGTAAAATAGTTTGAGGATTTATATTTATAATTTTGAAATTGAGTTCATATCTGATAATCAATGAATAGACTGAGCTAATCAGATTCCAGCAAAGAAATTGAGAGCAGGAAGGAAAAAAACTGGAAAAGAAGAGAATTATAGGCATAGAAAAGTATATTGCTAAGCTCAAGGATGAAGATAAGGTCAGATTGTCTATACAAGAGCTTTGAGAATTGGTACAGAGTTTTCCTAAAAAGCTTGAGCCTCCTTCTCAAGACCAGAATATGTTTGTCAAATTTAGAAAATTTGATAAGTCATTTACATATTTCCAATTCAAGAAGAATATAGTGAATCCTGGAGAGCAAAGAAAGCTGGCTAAAGCTTCGAGGCCTCTTATTCAGTCAGACGGGTTCAAGATTATCCAGACACCTTTATCAAATAGAGTATTTTTAGTTGGAGGAGATTCTAATCCTTGGGGTACTTTTGAGTTTGACCTTGAGAACAGAAAATTTCTACCTGAGGGAGAACTTAAAAATGAGCAGGAACTAGAAGTCCCTCTATCGATAGGAAGATCCCACCATTCTTTAGTGGCAACGTGTGGTCTCATTTTCTGTACAGGAGGCAAACCTAACTTTTTGAGAAGGAGAGGAGAAGGAGAAGATGAAACTGATGAAGCCAATGGTAGATTAATTGAGGTATTCAAGCTGAAGGAAGGCAGATGGATTGAATATAATAACAGGCTCCAGAATTCGAGATGATGCCACAGCTCCTGTATCCTTGGAAGTTATTTATACCTATTCCAAGGATATGATGTCTCAGGCTATGCAGTCAATTCTGTATCCATTGAAAGGATAAAGATAGATACCAATGAAGCAACTTTATTTTCTGATCCCGGTTATGATTCTTTCTATGTTAATCAGGACGATAACTTGGGAGAGAATATCAGGTCATTTACTTCTATTTTTCCAACCCAAAGTTTGAACCAAATTATTTATTTTGGATATACAGGACTAGAAGAAGATGCTTGACAGCCATTGGATCAGAAAGATTTGATTAGGACAGATGAAGATAACCAGATTTATCACAGATATTCCTTTAGAGATGAGTATCCAAGATATAACGAGTCAAAACTACAACTTGACTGGGAAAGAGAGGAGTATCAGGAAGCTTTAAATCAAATCAGAGATAGAGTACAAGAATGTGAAGAAATCCAGACGGTAAAAAATCCTCTATGTGAGGATTATATCCATCACCCTATGTATTTTAGAGGAATTACTTTCTATCATTCAAGCATTGGTAAGCCGAATATTCTAGCTCATTCAAAATTATTTTGGGTTCCACCAGAATCGGGAGATATGCTATTTTTGGACTAAAAATAACCTCAAAATTTTATAGAAAAGTTATGATATTTTGATGATGAAGAAGCATATCAGGTTAGAGAGGTTCTGCCTCCTGAACAAGATGTGGGATCCGATAGCTCCTCAGACTCAGACTTTTAATTCAATAATATTTAGCAAACTAGGGGTTTTGGGGTTTTGGGGTTTTGGGG